GAGGTTATGTATACATGTAATAAGAGAGAGATAGCCAACATTTTTGCCATATTTCAGTATTTAAAGTGAATACACCTTATGAATTATAATACACCTTCAAAAAATGAAAGTTCGCGATATGGACGTGGAAACTGGAAAAAGGAGGTTTTCTTGCGTATTGGACCCCAAGGAATCCGAATTTGCGGGGTCCCATTGTACCAAAAGTCTTCTCTGATGATGCTCAGGGGGAGCCGGAGCCCCCTTCCCCTCCTACTGATTAAATTTACAAATTTAGGGGGGATTACAAAATCCAGGGACTATCTGGACAACGGGACCCTCAATTTCGAATTCTTTGGGGTCTGTCGCCCATAAGTCAATTTCGCGAACTTGCATTTTTTGGAAGAAGGCTCTGTCCCCCACCTTCGAGGGTCAGTATTTTGGGCACGGATGGGCCGATTTTGGATTTCTTGGTGTTCATTTAGGTTGGAAATTTCTGCGCTCCCTGATTCCAATTAAATAACTTCCAAATGTTGACTTGAACCTTGAATTTTAAAGGATAGACCCCCCTTCCCCCCCCCCAAGGGAAGCCGGAGGGAGTCTGGGACCGGGAAGTTCTGATTCCTTAGGGTCGATTCCGTAGGGGTTCAATTCCGCTGTCCTGGACTTCGTGCGGCCTGGGTTACCAGAAGAAAAGCCCTGGGACGGTAGGTCTGGGCCACCCTGTAGAAAAATGTAGTTTTGACATGTTCTACATCAAAATGCGTCAAATTGCTGATTGATTAACTGCTTAGGATTGCCTACAATAAGAGTATAAGAAGAAAAGTAAGTTTTTTAACTTTTAAGCTCTCTCAGAAATGATGGACCTCAGAGAGACAACCTGTCACACCCGTTACGCAAACTTTCCCATTTTCCAAGGAAAGAAAAAAAGATAATTGAAAACGGATCATCGGCAGTTGAAGCAAAAACCTTTGGCTTCATCATGTAATTTAATCAGATTTTTACATTCATAAAATTCGCTGAGTTTCCACTTTACACTCACGGAGGAAAAACTCACTTCCAAAATCGGTCACACCCGTTACGCATGCCTTTTAATTTTTTCTGAGGAATGGAACAAAGTAAAAATAATTTCTGATAAACTGAAATGATTTATAAAAAAAAGTTCTTTCTGCTACTACAGATAATTATTTAATTAAACCCCAAGAAAGAGTTCAAATTCTTGTTTAAAGTTGAATTGTTGTCACACCCGTTACAATGGAATGACCCCGTAGCCGCCTATTCAAAATCAGGCGTGGAATGTATCAAGGAGACGCATTCTCGCCTCTTCTGTTTTGCATAGGACTAGTACCCCTATCGAAGAAGCTGAATGAACAACAGAACGGATACGGCCTGGAGAATGGTTACAAACAACTGACACACCTTTACATGGATGACCTGAAACTCTTCAGTAGCAATGAAACAAACCAACCTTCAACAACAGCTAAAAACAGTGAAAGAATTTAGTGACGATATCGGAATGAAATTCGGCCTCGATAAGTGCGCCAAAGTGACTTTCATGAAAGGAAAGTTTTTTAAAGGTGAAAATGTAGTCATCGACAATGAAACCAGCATCAGACAACTGGTGAAACCTACAAGTACCTAGGCATGGAAGAGAACTCAAAAGTGCAAAAAACAACAGTCAAAGAGAAGGTCAAGAAAGAATACATTCGAAAAGTAAGGGCAATATTAAAGACGGAGCTGTCAGCAAAAAACAAGATTTCGGCCATTGGAGCACTTGCAGTTCCCGTGCTACAGTACGAATTTGCAATCCTAGACTGGAAGATGACAGAAATCCGAGCGCTGGACGTCAAAACAAGAAAATATCTGACAATGTACAAAATGCACCACCCATCCTCAGATGTTCACCGACTCTATATATACGTCAGCAGAAAACTGGGAGGAAGAGGGCTGAGACAGATAGAAGCAGCGTACAAGTCCACCATTATCAGTACGAAATATTACCTGAGAAAGAAGAGGAATGAAGATCTGTTTCTGAAATCGGTACACGAGTCGGACATCCAGCTGAGCACGCTGCACTCGATTACCAAAAAAGCTGACAAGTTTGAAACTGAGTTAGAACAAAACTTTGAATAAACATCAGTTAAAAGCAGGAACCAAACAATCTAGAAGAAAATAGCTGAAACCTTAAGATCAAAATGGACCGAAAAGAACATGCACGGTCAGTACCCTCGCTTACTTACTGGAAGAAGACAGAGTCGAAAGCACACTTTCAACAATGTGGCGGCTGAGCAAAGGAGCATTAAAAGGTGAAACCGAAAGCCTAATCGCAGCAGCCCAAGACCAGGCTCTTAACACTAGGTTCCGAGATCGGAAAATTCACGGCAGAGCCCGAGACAGTAAGTGCATAGTCTGTCATCAGCAGGAGGAAACTATAGATCACATAATATCAGCGTGCCCGATCCTTGCCAAAAAGGACTACATAGAACGGCATGACAGAGTGTGCATCCATCTCCATCATAACTTGTGTAAAGAGTACGATATAGCAGTCGAAACGAACTCGTACGAGCACAAGCCAAAAGCTATCACAGCAACGGATGATGGACAAACAACTATCATATGGAATGTTCCTGTCAGAACTGACAGGGCGGTGCCCAACAACAGACCTAACATCATACTGCGAAAGAGGGGGCGCAAACTTGCTTGCTTATCAACGTGTCAATCCCAGCGGAGAGGAACATAACACCGAATGAAGCCGAAAAAAGACTCAAGTGTAAAGACTTAGAAATCGAGATAAGTAGAGTGTGGAAAACGGTAATATAATAAATATATAATAATAGCCAAAAGGATTTTGAAAAAAAAAAAAAAAAAAATTTTAACCCGACGCGCACAGAGCCTATATGAACATCGAAATTTTCTCGGGTTTTTTTGGCATTTTCGCTGTATACTCGTGAAATTTTTGCCAGAAACACGGATTTGACGCTAGATGTCCAAAAATTGGTACAAACCTAGCGCATACCTTGCAGATAAAGGGAAAATTTTTGTTTTTCTCTCAGGTCACTCTCACTTATTCGCTCGGTTATTGCCCAAACTCTCCGCCCTGGAGCTTTAAAAATCGAAATTTCGCCGTTTTTTAACGTATAATGAACTGTTTGAGCAGCCTATTAATGGTAATAAAATCCGAAAATTTGTGGAAAGCAAGTCCATACCGTCAGTATGAAAGGGCAAATGTCAGAAAACTCCTAGGTCTTTTATTTTCTGCCAAACTATGCCCACGATGATGGAAACCCGTCAAAAATACCTCAATTTTGACCATTTTTTCGCGTTCGAAAATTTATTAGACATCCTGTAATAACAATGAAGGTCCGGAAATTTTGTGGAAAGTAAGTTCATACCGTCTGTATGGAATAAAACATTTTACGACTACATTTTACTGTTGGTTCCTACGTCTACGACAATGATTAAAGGTAACACACCTGTTTCAAGAGAGAAGAACAGTACCAAATGAGACCATGATAAAGGTCGGGTAGGTGGGGTTAAGAGTACACACCGCACTTTTTTCGCGCGCTTTGTTTGAATTTATGATGACTGGGGTGTTGGTTGTTGGCAACATTGAGTTTCACCTGTTGACGAAGTTTTATGCGAAGCAGATGTGTTTCGACGGAATTATAAGGCAAATTCACTTTTCATGCGAAAAATATCGATTTTTTAAGTATTTGTATTGTCTGTTGTGAGTAGAATAGTTGATGGCAAAAAATCGGACAGGCACCATATCAAAGTGTTATTATAGTGTTGGCTTTAATAATCCGTAGTTGTTTTCACATCTTGGGTAGAGTACCTATATTGAGAGAGTATGGCCACTGGAGTTACCACCTCTGATTGGCTCAGCCATCTTAGGCTGAATGGAGCCCTCAGGACCCAAAAATGGCGGACGCCCATAAAGTTAATGTAATGCAAAATGATTCAAAATTTAGTTGTCTTTGCTTATCGTAACGAGAACTTTACCCAAATGCACTATTGCGACTTTTTTTACATATTTTTAAGGCTAATCGTGTGCAATTTTTGAGAAAAATGATCTTAGATGTAGTAAGGTTGGCAGCAAGTGCGGTTGGTGATAACCGTCAAAAGTTGGCAATGACCCCCCTTCCCATCCTCAAAAACCAAAACAAAGCACCGCCATTTTTGGGTCCTAAGCCTCTCCATGGGACCCAGTGGCCATACTCTCTTAATATAGGTACTCTAACCTTGGGCCTTGGGCCCAAGGTTTTAATTTATGTTGTCCAATGTTTACAAATGGGGCAAGAGTAGGTACGCTGCCAGAATGGGGCAAAAGTACGCGCCCAAAAAAGGGGCGTAGTGGGAGGGGGGGGTGTATAGGAACTTCAACATAGAAGATGTAGGCAACTCAGTATCTTAATAAATTTTTATATTCCTTTATTCAATTTGGACAATTAAACATTGGTCTTTTCCTGTTAAAAAAAATTGACTTCAAAAATTATTAGGAAGCTTGTGGAGACTGAATTATTTTTTTTTTTCACAGTAAAAGTGGTTAGGCACCACTAGAACCCTTTGAGACCAGTTTCATTTTTTTTTTTTTTTTTTTTTTTTTCACAGTAAAAGTGGTTAGGCACATTTGAACCCTTCGAGACCTCATTAAATGGGGCAAAAGTAAGTACGCATTTTCAAATTTTTTTTAAAACATTCGTCACGGCCATAGATTTTATTTCTAAATTCGGACAACGTAGGGCACTTGTACGCCAGGGCTTGCAGTAGGTGCCTGACCACTTTTTCCGCCTTAAAAGTCGATCCGGTCATGGAAATATAGGAAAAACCAAAAAATGCATATTCTTACCCTCACCTACCCTATTACTTTGTATAAAACCCCTTGACTCTCCTTCTCTCCTCAAATGACCTTGATGTTGGGTCTAGTTTGATGATGTGGCCAACTTCTTGCCTGGATTAAGAAGAAAATTTGCATAAAAAATACCTTCGGAGTAAATCCTGAATTTTTCTGGTTAACTTGGCAGAAATTCTGGAAGCGGTGGCTAAGCGGGTGAACCCTCCTTTCAGACCAGACATCACTGGATATGACTGTCCCAGTGACATCAAAGAGCTGATGGAGAAGTGTTGGCAAGACAATCCAGATGATCGACCTACCTTTGAAAACATCCGGCAGGTTATTAGGCGGGCAATGAGGTAAGTTAGGTACCTTTGATAGTCTAAACACCTTAATAATATTGCGTAGGATCATTACCTTAAACAGTTTTTTCAATATTGATTTATTATCATTCAGCTGGTTATTTTTAACCCTACAATTTTTGTCTTTCAAGTGAGATGCGATGAGGACTAGGTATGTAGAAGAAAAAGATTATGGCGATTTAATCTCTATTTTATCGACGAAAATTGATGGGGATTTTTTCGAGCCAAAAATTGCGATAATATCTCGATATATTTCCACCGATATAATCGCGATAACCAACCGATAAAATCGCTATTTATCGCGATCACCGCTACTTGGGTGGTTTAAATGTAGTAGGTACTCAAACGTGGGGCGGAAATAGGGGGGCCGAGATAAATTGTTGGGCGATAAAAGCGCGATTTTATTGCGATAAAATCGATGACGATCGATCAGATGTTGATGATCCTGGCGATTTTAGCTCCGATAAAATCGCAATATATAGCGATTTTTCCGTTGAGAAATGTTACCTGGGCATTACACGCATTTTACCGAAAATTGACAACGATAAAAATCGGTAACAGTTTATTGATCGGCACAATAGACGACATTGGAATCAAGTATTGGAGGTGTGAGACGAATAAGGAGATCACCCTAGGTGAGTGTCTCATTTGACGAACACTAAGCGAGTCTCATAACTCCTAGATGCAACTTTTCGAGCTCGACGAATGTCCGTCTTGCAGATTCACGGAAGTGAGGGGTTTTTGATTCCCTAGGCACTCACCACGTACTTCACCCGCGTCAAGGCAGCGACAGATTATACTGCGAGAACCCTGTATGACGGTGCTTCTTCGATTCTTCGTTCATACTGCAAATTAAACATCCATTACACATGAATAGTTGCATGCACACGCGTAACAGGTGAGTAGGTACCTATCTTGCGTTTTAGTTTTAATCGAGCGATATTTCAAATATAATTTATAAAGCAACCATTCGAGCCTAAGAGGTACTTTCGTTGAAGGTATAAACGAAGAATTGAAAGCGCTCTGTCATATTGGATCCTTGCAATACTTACAACCTGCCGCCGCACCACGAGTGAGGCTGAGAGTGCCTGGAAAGACAAAACGTCTTCACTTCCTTGCGTATTGTTGGAATGCTACACTCATAGGTATTTCCCGCATTAGTGATGTAAATCGGTGTGTTACACCGGTGACTTAGGTATGTCATATCACTTCTCTGTACTTGTGCCAATAAGGAATTAAGGATCATAATGTCTGCTGTATTCGTGGTCAATAAATTTATCGCTATGAATCGACGTTGTTGTTCATTGAACTGAAACCATAAAAACTTCCAACATGATAGCAGAGCCCGGTCAGTGTATTTATTCTATTAATTCCCGTGAATAAGTTTCGAAAAAGACGATCTACTCAAAAGACTTCTGCCTCGTTACAACCTAACCTATCACCATGCCGGTAGCATGAAAGTGCATTTCTCTTCATAAGTGCCTTTACCCATAACAACTCAACGGTGAAGAAAAGTTTAAAATTTCAAGGAAGTGGCCTCAAAACAAAGCCCAAGATTTTTAGATGTTCCGGACTAGCCAATTCGTGTCTGATGAGCAGTGCAGTACGGGTTACCCAGTAGTGACGAAAACCCCTGTTGGTTACCTACGGGTCAACCAAAGGAAAACCCCTGTAAACTCATCATGTAGCAGCTAAGTAGGACAGGAAGGAAGACAACGGGTAAGCCTCCGCCCAGGCTCAAATAAAAGGCTACAAATGAAGATTGAAACGGGTTGAACGGGTTTGAACAGTGCCAAGCGGCTAAGCAGCTGGAAGAATTCTCCAAATGCATCGATGCAATCATCATTAACCTCCTCGACAGGAATTTTATAACTTCAGTGGACAAAGAATTTACAAGGTAAGTGATTAAAGGTACAAAACTTCATTTATACCGAACAATACTTAGTGATTAAGCATCTCCCAATTACCTCACAAAGTAGTGACATAAGTAGTAATTTCCCTCACTTTATTGTACCTATACCTATCTCGTTTGTATGATCATTATAATTTTCAACGTTTTCTACTAAATAAATGTATTAAATCATGGCAACGTTAAAAGTGAAAGTGCCAGTTTTTGACGGCAATAACTTTCACAAATGGAAGTTCAGATTAACTCTACTGATGAAATTTAATAATTGTGAAAAGGTCATAACTTTAGAGGAGAGACCAGAAAATATTACAGCGAACAGTTGGTTAGAAATGCAATTCAAAGCCACTAATATAATTATTTCTAGTGTAAAAAACACTCAAATTAATTTGCTCATGAATATTGAGGATCCGAAAGAAATTCTGCAAAAATTGCAAAACATCTGTGCTGTAAAATCGAAATTTTCTAGGTTAAAATCTAAAAGAGTAACTGTCGAACTTAGGCTAAAGGATAGTGAGAACCCTTTTAAATTTATCAACAAATTTGAGACTTTAAAGAATGAACTGAGAGACTCTGGAGAAACCGTATCTGATGAACAAAAACTACAATATTTACTATGAGCCCCACCTAAATCTTTAAATCATATCATAGACTTAATGGACAACATTCCAGAAGAAAACAAAACCGCTCAATTTCTGAAAAAGAAAATCATTTCAATTCACCAACGTGATGCTCATAAAAGTGATGAAAGTAGCTATACCGATGAATTATCCAATCAGTTTTCTGCAATGTAGTAAGTAATAAAAATGAAGATAGGAGAGGTTTTCATATACTTATAGAAATGAATGTAATGGAAGTAGAAACTCATCGTCTTTCCAACGTGACTTGTCGGCAAATAACAACCGGAGAAAATCCAACGCCAAAAACTGCACAGGAAAAAAAAAAAATATTTCTAATTCACCGATTCAGGTTGTAGCAAAATTAGCTGCTCCTCCTAAAACATTTTTATCCGTGCACGGTGTTGTAGTGAGGGTGCTCGAAACTTGGTAGCCCTAAGAAGGGCCGTTTTAGAGAGTGAAGAGCTGAAACAGGTCTGAGCGGTGCTAGAACAAGCGGGAGCGCTGGAGGCAGTGCCGGAACGTGTGGCCGCGGGACAGTGCCAACGTACGGTCTAGCAAGGTACCGGGAGTCGGCCGCTATATAGTGCCGTGCGCTAGGAGCGGGAGCCAATGGGAGGCCAGAGCGGTGAGCGCGGCAGTGCGAGGCGCTGATTGGCCGAGAGAGTGGCAGGAAAGCTCGGCGAGCTTGAGTCGCCACAGCAGCCCCCTGGGAAGTGACGGAGTCACGTCTGTGGTCAAAGAGCTGGGACTAGAAAATGGGCTGAAAAAAAGTGAGAGAAACATCGGCTTGTTAGTAAAATCACTTCCCCACGAGTGTGGAGGGTGGAAAGCGGAATTGGACGCGTCGTCCAGAGCGTGTCTTGTAGAATTCTTCGTTCGCTGGTTATGGTGTCTCAACTACAGGTTTCGCTGTCTTAACTCCTGCTTTGCTGGGCGGGGCGGGTTGGACTTGCGGTGCAGCCGGGCCTGAAAGTTCTTGCGGGACCTGAGTTTTGACGGCAGGGATTTCGTTGGCCATGAGGTAGGCTGGTTTGACCCTGTCTATGGAGACACGTGATTCCTTGCCCTTAATCATCAGGGTGACTGTTTTATCATCATGGCGGATGACTGGGTGTGGTCCTGAGAAAGGAGGTTGAAGAGAACGCCGAACCGTGTCATCTCCAAGAAAGACATGATAGCAAGTTGCGAGGTCTTTGAAGATGAAGGTGTTGGGCTGACAATGGCGTGACGCAGGAGTAGGTCGGAGGGTGGCCATTTGTTTGCGAAGTCGGTTGACGAATTCAGATCCCCACATAGCACAGAATCTTATGTCAATACTGATACATATTGTTGGATGTCGACAAGGTTCCCCGTAGAGTAACTCGGCTGGTGAGGCTTTGATGTCCTCTTTGAAACTGGAACGGATTCCAAGTAGCACTATGGGTAGAGCTTCAACCCAAGTTGTATCAGGGTGACACATAAGTGCTGCTTTCAGGTGCCGGTGCACAGTGGGAAAAATAGCCGATCTAGTGCCGAAAAAGTCTTGACGCGCGGGGCGTTCACTCTCCCATTGATTTTTCACACTTAATCGGTCTTATATATCTAATCATACACTAATAATAACTTAATGCGCCGATTTTTTGTAAATTAAAGAGTTATTGAGCCAAATGTAGTCATGGGATTAGCTATAATTTACTTTCCTTGAGATTGTTTTGGTTTGTGGTATTTGATCAACCAGTAGAGTAAAATAAAATATTTCTGGTCGTTTATGCTATTGTCGGTTACTTTTTTCATTATCCTGTGCAAGTATCTTATGTCCCACCTTTTTTTGGAAAAGTTTGTGTGCCTATGTGTTAGTGTTTCAAGGTGAAGTTATGAGTAAGAATGAATTTCATCCGCATCGTATTACTAAAGATGTAAATATAGATAAGATTGACGTGGTAGGTAAATGGCATGTATTCAATATTAAGAGCAAATGAGGTAAAAAATCACTCCTGAAAGAGGTTGTTCCATCCCCCATTAGATTTGGCCCCCTATCAAATATGATCCATCTTTTCAGAAGTGATACAGTAGCATGCGAGACGTTCAAATATGGCGGTCATTTTGACTTAGGCCCCCCCAGAGAGGGGGGGCGGGGGGTCAAAGTCAAAACCTTCAACTGCCTATAACTTTTGAGCGAAAAATCGGATTGAGTTGAACTTTTTTTTAAATGAAAGATCTCAAAAAGATCTATCTGCTGATACCAGAAAAATTGAAAAAAAGTTAAATTTAATGCAAATTTTTAGCAATTTTTCAATTTTTTAGGGGACAAAATTTTCAATTTTGTCGTGTTTCGGCACCGCGCAATGACTCTACTAAAACAAAAACCAGTTTTTTAGATTCTACACTTAATTTCCTACAAGATGCAAAAAACCGCATCTTGGGGAAACGTTTAGATCGCGAGCTATGGCTCGTCAAAGTTAGCCCCGCGCTGAGCGCGCGCGCCCTGCGCT